GCTGTACTGCTGTGGCCCTCCCTCCTGATGACAGAATCGTCTCACACTTCACCTTCACAGACACAAGCTCCATGTGTTTGTGGTGAAATTGTGGGTCTGTTGGTGTGAAAGTTTATTATTGAGCTCACTGAACTGATCTCGAAGGCCACTTTAATTTCAGTTGGCTTCTGACATTTTGAGTGAAATTGTAGTTTTGTTGGTTTAAATGTGCTGTTTCTTTGACTAGCCGGCTTGTTTAGTTGATATTTGTATTTCCTCCTCCTGAAATAAATATCAAGTGTTTTTTTTTTTTAAATTGTAGGATACAGGTGTGTCGAAGTGGCTCCGGTTTCGCTGCGGCTCATGTCAGATCCAGGGCTGATAGAAACAGTTTGATCAATAAATGAGCTAAAAACCGATTGACATTTGCTGCACTTCAGCTGAACAGAGACAACGTTTTCAAACCGTCTATATTGGAGGTTTGCATCACCACTGCTAAAATCGACAAACAATGTTCTAAAGACGTGTTTTCGAGGTTTGCTTTGGTTCAGATGACACCTCAAATACAGTAATACGGTATAAAAATAAGTGACAGGAAATATGCTGTGCTGAAGCTCTGTATGATGACGTGTTCTTGCAGGTTTATTTGAGTTCAGGTAAAGAGAAATGAAAGTTTTATAAACACTTATTTCGGAGGCGTGTTTCACTCCAGGGGAAGTGAGCAGAAACTAAACCAAAGAAATGCAAGAACAGGGTGTACAGATGCGTTATGAAAGGGTGTTCTGGATGTGTGACTCACAAAAACGATATAAAAACCGAAAACAGGAGATCGTTAGGTTGTCTGTTAAACCCGGTTTGCCCCGGTTCTTGTCTTCCAGTTCAGGACTTGTGCTGTGGAATGAGTGTGGTCTGTGGGCTCTGGCGGGAACAGTCACACTGTGGGGACGGGGATATCCTGTTCCTGCTCTGATGTTCTCTCCTGGAACCTCCATTAACATGTGATCTCAAGAAAAGAGAGTGATTGATTGGCTTTGAGTGCCTTGTGAAATTCTCTGGGCTCGACCCCGTGTTTCGGCTGC